GTACTAGAACAGAACAGGCTTCCAGCAGGTCCTTAAAATGTCTTATAGGGCATTAAATTCTTCAATATCAAACTAAAGGGCTGGTTATACTCCCGTAGCAATGTGTCACAGTGAGCTTGTTGCAGATATATTTGATTTATGCCCAGTATTGAAGAGTGGTCTATGCTATGTTTTTCCATGACACAAAGCAAGAGGAACAATCAGGAACTACATTTAAACATTCTACATTTAAACATTTGCGTTCACTGCGACACACATGCAGACGACCTGGTTTAAATCAGCCTTTAGGCCTTAATTGGTGTTAAAGTGCCTTAAATTAGTCTTTCATAGGTCTTCAAATCGTTACCTCGTCATAAATAGGATTTTGTTTTTGTAATCCATATCAAATATTAAAATAATTGACGACAATTATTTTCACATTTAGGTTTGTTCTGTCAGATGAGTTTCAGCCTACTGAGCATCTAAAGGCCAGAGGCTGATAAGCAGTGAGCATATTGGAAGGAATTGGGATGGAAGTACCTAATTAGATTTATTACTCCCCAAATTACTGGTAGATATAGAGGAGAAGCACAGCAATGTTGGAGACAGTGTGGCCATCAGAACGTCAATCACTTTCATGTATTTTGGTCCTGCCAAAAGCTGGCACCTTACTGTGATGCAATCTGTCAGACCGTCAGGATTTTGGGATATATAATCTGCACGACCCCAGAAAGTTTCAACTGGGGCTGATATCTGGAGAAGTGTTTCAAAATGAAGATATTTTTTTAAAGGGGTCATAGAATGCAAAACCAAGTTTCGTTGTCATAGATGAAAAACGATAATTCAGTTCAGACGTACAGAGAAGTTCATACCTCATCAACATCTTATTTCTCTGCAAATGTCACAATTCTAAACTTCTTAACCATAAAACGTGCAAATCCAAACGAAGCACTGAATTGACGTCAACTCAGGGATGTTGCCTTATTTGGTTCTGGCCTCTACTGGGCTGCTCACTGGACCGGGCATTCGAACCAAGCCATCAGCTCTGGGTCGGTAGGAGTCCTGAGCCAGCCAGGTACTGAGCAACCAAACCCAACCCGGTGACTGTATGGAAGTCTGGTCACTCTACCATATCAGCAATTTGATGTTTCAGTGAGTGAGTGCTTGTTGCTATGATGCATCTTTGCTCAGCAGCTTAGCTCGTTGTAAACCAACCAATCAGCGCACAGCTCATCTAAATATTCATGAGCATACCATAAAAGGAAGAAAACCTGTCATTTCATTATAGCGTTTTTAACCAGGCTTAAATTAGGGCTGAGCAAATATACAATTTTTAGCCTAACCAATGTTACTCACCCTATTCAGAGACCTTAAGGTTCCCGCCTGTGCCCTCAGGGACTCTCACCCTGGTTAAAGTAGATCACTGGTTCTGTTCAGCTCTAGAACCTCTACCAGGTGAGAGGGAAGGTTCTAATTCT